ATGCAGTCTTCGATTTTCTTAAAACTTCTTCCTAATAATCCCCCATGCTCAGCCTGTGTCCCTTGAGAAAAGCAAGATTACCCCCTTGGAAGTCCTGAGAAACACTAGCCATAACCTCCCTGTCTTTAATTTAACCTGGCCTAGCAGATCCCCTTGGAAGCCTCTGTTGGACCTTTTTTTGAAGGCACCTTAATAAGATTAAGACAAGTAGATTAGTGAAGGAACTTGTTTGCAGCCATCCACTGAACACAGGCATGTTTGTGTAGAATAAACCTCTGTGTGTATGAACTAGAACTCAGTAATAATACTCTTACTTAATCTCAATTATTTAGATGTGCCAATATTGGATGCATATTTACTTGATTGTTGAATCTTCTTCTTCTTCTCCTTCTCCTTCTTTTGTATAAGAAAGAGGGTTATATACAAGAACAATTGAATATTGAGAAAACATCCTAGCCCAGTCCAGATCAAGTCCTTAAGCCCGATACTAGTCCATATGCCCGATACCAATCTATAAAGTCCTCTTCAGACTCACAATACGCATGCAATGACGCCGAATGCAAGACGATCACAGTCCAGTGGGTGGGAAGTCTTGTGGATCCAGTGGCATTGTAAGCATCAAAGCGCTGGCAAGGGTCTCCATGTGAGTTCTCCAGCTCAGGGCACAAGTGTAGTTCCATGTGCCTTGTCAGCTGCTATGTCTCTCAGGGAGTGAGGAGAGAGAGAGAGAGTGTTTTCTGCTTCTAAGGAGGAAATACAGGAGTTCCCAGAATCCTCAGGAGAAGGCCATGGCCACACAGAGGACTCATTAGCTATGACCCGATTGACAGACTAGACTCCACCCTTTCACTCTTAATCCTCTCAAGTCCCAAATTGACACCAGATTATGTAACTACCACACCAGGGCTCCATATAGTTAGGTTGAAATATGATACAGTGAACCCTCGTTTATCGCGGTTAATCGGTTCTAGACCCTACCGTGGTAAATGAAATTCCGCGAAGTAGGATTCCTGATATCCAAAAGTTTTACCTTTTCCTGGATGGTGAGCATCTTCCTCTGGCGCTTATTTTTAG